CGAAACCAAAGTTCAATCAAAATTCATGGAACTCACGCGCTCACATACCGATATGTCCTCCCTTAGTTGTTAGGATCTTTTCTACCCGAAGATTCATGGATTGAATAGTCACTGCAATCGTAGTAGTCTCAAATTGCGACTCACAATGCACTTTTTCAACTACGATTAGAAACTGCATCACAGAAAATATGGAATTAACGAAATTCTGCATCTCGTGGGGTGATTTAGTGAGTGCAAATATGTAATATGAGTTCTTCGGAGTTGTGAATTTTATTCTTCGGTCCCAGTGCGCCCCACTGTCCTGATTCGCAGATTTCTTAGTCTACAGCGAGAAATCATGATCATCGCGGCCATATGCGGATCCTGATACGCGTGGATGATGAGAGCGATGTGATTAATGTTGTTGCACGCATGTAGCGCAACTAGGAAACTCTCAAATGCGCAAGATTTCTATGGACTACACCTTATCCCGTCCAAGTTTGACAAGTGAACAAGTTTGATGGCGTTAGACGCAAGAATGCTAGCGTGCTACACAAGTGCGACAGTGTCAAATTGACACCTTCTCAGATGTTACATTCAAGGTTGCCAGAGTGACATTCAACTTTGACAATAAACGCTCAAGTTTAACAATATTCACTCAAGCATATTGTCAAACTTAGAAGTTTCATAAACTGATCGTTCGATAATCGTGAATTTTGTGTAATTTGTCTCATTAGCTAGAGTGTCTCATAGTTGTTACTCATTGAAAAGAATAACGAGTTCAACCATTGTCAGTGACAATAATTGTCAGACAACTTGTCACCTCTGTCGAAGGTTATTGTACTTTTTCTGCTGGCTAATCTTGCTAATGTATTCTGGTTATGATATCAATGATTTAGATGAGTTGGATTACAGTGAGGATATGGGCACCAACGACTTAATGGGGACTGACTCTGGTTCTAACCAGGGAAATGAATTCCCTCCCTCTACAGATAGCTTTCAAGTTCTTATCACCGGCCGTCGTCGAAGTTGAAGTTTCTGAACGAGAATGTTCGATTCTATTCAGCCCGCCTGTCCAAATAAAAGTTCCTATTTTCCAAATAGGCGTTGAGGAGGTGTAGCCTCATGATGAGGCTTATATATTATATATAATATAATATATAAGGCCCTTAGCAGTAGCGGCTCCATTCATCCTCTTATCTTCGATAGTGCTTGAGAAGGTCGCAGTAAAAGGACTTCCCAAGGCCGCACACGGTTTGAACCTATCGGCAACGAGAGGTCCTAACGAGCATAACTTATGCTGCATAAGACCATTAGGACCTGAGTCGCTCACTTAAAGACTTTAGATCGACACCGTCATTAATAACGAGATCCTTGGCTCTCTGCGGTTACCCTCTGTTGAACAAGTTCGTGAGACCAACGATAGAGGGACTCCTCCCGAGAAGAGCATTTTGGATTTCTCTTTGGAACCGTTCTGAAAATAACTCGTGACAATCGTCCTCAGTCAGTCAAGGGCCTTGACTCAAGGATGCCGTTTTGTGGTGGTCGACACAATTTCTGTCAATAATATTCTTATGCTGTAGCCAAAGCATTATGCTCCTTTAGCGATTCACACTGTTGGCGACATTGTAACCATAGCGCTCAAAATGATGCACCCACGTTCATCTCTCAAGTAGGAGTAACTGGGAATAATTATCCTTGTCCCATTGGTGTAACCTGCGCTCTCGAGCACTCAGTTATACCTTCACACAGTTGAACGCATACATAATACGTTCTTTCTGTGCCTGAATTAGCTTCGGTGGAGAGTTACCTCTGACACTCACCAGGGTGGAAGACGAGATAACGCATCTCGTTGTCCACATTCCCTCCCGACCAACTAATGAAGACTACTCTTCCTTTGGGTTCGTTGGAGAGCTCAGGGCACAAATTGCCTTGAAGGCAATTTGGAATGCAATTTTGAAGGCAATGCCTTCCAGCGATCGCATAGCAGATTAACACGTCCAACTGCACATGCGTGCAGAACTCCTGCGGACCAAGTAGACCTGCTGCCAGAAAAATGAGAGAATCGGCCTCAGTCGGGAAATTTCAGTTGCTCATTAGTGATCAATTCACATACGGTATGTCCCATCAGATACACGATTTTAAACCTCTTTAGAGAAGCTCGTTAGCCAGCCCGTGGCACAAAAATTTCCAGTGACGGATGTTCGCGGTCCGCGAATCCCGGATCTAACCCCCAAAGGTTACTTTAGTGAGAGGGAAAAGAGGCGGTTTTCGCGAGCCGTCTGGCTCGAACGAAAACCGCAATATGAGGTCAATTTAACCGCACAAATGTGGAGTCCGTTACGAGAATTGTATAACTCAAAGTTCTCGAGAATATTCAGTAACGATGTATCACACTATGTCAATGGAGTATGTTTGTGTAGCATATTATCGTCCGTATATCACTGCCCATATATTACCACCTCCTCATACATCATTCTCCACATTGCAAACACAATCAGTATGAACTGAACAACACCAATAGAGTTATAGCACTTGAGCCATGTATCGAACGCAGGCCATCCACAACATTCCACGGTGGAGCGTTGGAGTCTCCAGCATGAGATAGATGCTCTAGGTAAATGGAGCGTGTGCAAACAAAGACACCAGTTGAATACAAAAATATGAAATTCATTACACCGGAGCGTGAGTTCGCATATATCATGGACCATATAATGCCCATGCATTACTGTACCACTAATGGGCGAAGATATCAGAACCCGATTCATCGAATTAATCTCTTATCTCCCGTAAAACTGCTCCGACGATACTTTTGCGCGCGCCATACGCACGCATCAACCTGTGGATTCGAACATTTCAAGACCAATCTCTGGTCACAGGATTTCAGTTTCAAACATACTTGAGAGGACACCCATTAGCGTAGAGATCTATGTGTACACGGATAATCAGCCGATTTCCACGGCTCATTTAAATTAAGCTTTTCCATTTGCAGCCCTATTCAATAGGCAGGTCGCACCTGCGCGATTGCGTGAAAGGTTTGGTCGCGCTCTCTCAGGGCCCCCCACCCCTGGCGCGCGCTGATGCCATCATGCCATATGTTGAAGCTTTGGGCAAAGCAGGTGCCCAACACCCAGGGTGTGAGCACCCTGTGAGGCTGATAGCTCAATCCTACTCCGCCAATGCCGAGCCAGACTCTCTGTTCGTCGAGCTGTACTCACGATCATCACGATTTCCGGTAGTTACGTATTGTTGCCTTCCCATTTCCCATCCGTAATCCTGAGAGTTCGATCCCTGGAAGTCCTACTTTCTAGCCTCGGCGCACCGTTTCACGTTTGTTGTCTGCATCGTTGTTTCCTGGTGCTATCTCTACGAATACCCAATCTACGGCAATAAATGGTGTGTTTGGCGATCTGTATGATACAGACTGTATCCTTTGCGCTTTATACTCGCACCTTATATCATCATCATCATTTCTGATGATCACCTAGGGAAGACCACTATATCTTTCAGTCATTGTATTTGGCGTGCCAAGATGGCGCACAATTTCATACGTGCGACGTGGCTCGCCTCATGACGCGATCGATTTCGTTGTAGCATAGGAGGAGCTTATTATAAAATATTCATTAGTCAAGTAAAGTAATCTGACCGTTATTATGCTCCACTCCCTAACCCTCATTGCTGCTCTGTTCATCGGTAGCTGTGCTCATGATGAAGCTGATCTGTCATTGGCTATATCAAATGACTTGTGAGTTCTCCTATTCTTTTTTACGGCATGAAAAAAAAGAGCCTACCGTTTTCGGTAGGTATAACAGCATGAAGAATTACAAGAGCTTAACAGTTTTGGGTGAGCGGCTCCAACTAAATGAAGATCTGGTTGTTATATTATGATAGGTGATTCGTCATTGTATGACCGCCCCGTTGGTGCATGTACATTTAACGGAAGCGACGCGCTTTCTGATTGCCATTGCAGCACGGAAGGCGAAATAGTTTACATCGCTTATGTACGAATATATCTCGACATTTCTGACAGTGAAGCATTCTTCTCAGAATGGGGAAGAAGTAGTGGCATTCGTCTGTGGGCCAACGTGCGGTAGAAGAATTTTGAGAGAAGCTGATGGCGTAAGAATTCTAGAAGAACATCATGGAGGAGTTTGCCCCACGTCCTCACTTGGCCAGACTGCATGTCGATTAGGGCATCACTGCGTTACGCCCAAACCCGTGAGTGATAGTGATGCTGATGATTTCATGAACTGAGATTCTCATCCATCTTAGAAATGTTTACCTCCTATGCTCGCCGTCACCTTCAAGAGATACGGCACTATATGCATGTATAAGAAGTGAAGATCACCTCGAACACCATCTTCGGGTGTTATCATCTTCAAGTGACGCCCCTTTCTACGATGTGATCTGTCAATCTATTGTTCCAGTACACAATCACTCTGTCTGTTGCACGACATGGATATCCACTCAGTTTTTCAGTCCGTAGATTCTCAGGCAACTTGTTGACAACCGCGCGAACCATAGCCCTTCTCTCAGAGGGCTCATCCTTGTAAACGTCTTGATAAAGATGGTAAAGTGCAGAGCATTTCCGAAGAAAGTCATCCGCGTGCTCCAAACCTCCGAACTTCAAGGAATGGAGAGTGGAATGGTACTCGTCCCTCAGCTGGTCCTTACGAGAGAATTGCTGCCAGAGTTCATGACGAATAGAAACCCAATCATACCTCGTTCTCCTTGCAACCTCATGAGCGACAGCCATGGGCATGGCTTCAGACTCGTCGCTAACTTTGTGAAGCAGGTAAGCTTAAAATTCGCGTGCGGGACGAAGGAACCGGAGGCGCTGAACTGACCAGCACCAGCCTCCACGCACAGACTTTCTACAAGGGAAACATGACAAGCTGAGAACCAGACTGCACTTCAGGTACGGGCAATCGGTTCAAGTCAGCCAACGTTGTAGATGGGCGTTCATCTACTCTAGGGACCGAATCGATCATGTTACCGGACAGGCTCGGGGTCAAGCTTACATATTTGGGAGACGCAAGAACTCCCTCACGATCGCTTGGAGGTGAAGAAGTCATATTCTGATCCTCGACACTCAAACGAGCTTGGATTGCACGCGCCAATCCTGCCTGACGGACAAGATCACTGCGCTCAGCATCGATGGTAGCCTCAGCCCCAGCAATGCTAGTCTCGATCTCAGAGATACGGGCCAGGGCGGCAGATTCGCGCCCTTGTAAGTCGTCCAGAACCTGCGAGTTCTCGTCCGAACCGTCGTCGATCACATTATTAAGGTCTTCACGAACTCTGACCAGAGAGCGGCGGAGCCTCGCAAGCTCACGACGAAGCCCACGACGAAGCTCACGATGTAGGTCAGGTTGGTGATCACTGGTCACTGACCAGGAGATGCAACGGGAAGGCGAAATCTCCCAAGTGTCCCCATAATAAGATGAACGAACTAAAACCTTGAGCCAAGATGGCTACGGGTGTTATCCAATGAAGGATCTGGTTTTAACAGCTTAAGTACGAACGCACGCACAATCGCGCGGGGGCTCGCGTTACGCGAGCCCCCTTGATCGATACGCGAGTCGCGCATCGATCAAGAACAAGCGGGCGCCCATGATCAGCGCACGATGCGATAAGTAGCCGAGGACAAGTCAAGAGTAGAAATTTCACTATGGATATCGTCCCACGCGATATCAACATCACCGGAGGCAGCAACAGCCACCACCGTACCCCTATAGTAACGCTTCTGCGGTCGTTTACGACCGGAAATGATTATATCATATAGTACTCTGAGACGCATACCAACTAAGCTCGGAAGAGTAGTATCATAGTTGTCTCTAGTACTATCATGGGTAGCTTAGGAGTTCGTACTCGGGTTTCAATTTCCGATGTTTTCAAGCATCATTTTTTTGGTTTACTGGTGATTTGCACGGCAGTCAGCAATCGACAGCTTCCCCCGGAGAGTCACTCTCGGAGGGTCAGTGGACAACCGAATCGTGTCTCAACAGCACAATTGTTATCATCCCAGGATCGGCTACCACATGACGGTATCCTTAATTCTTGTGGTTGTGCATCCTGGGCCAGAATTCCTGACTAGGGGAGTGAGTCGGACATCTTTCTGTAGCTCGGTGGCTAAGCACGATGGTTGATCTTTGACGGCGTTCTCTTGTTACACTGAAACTTCCTGGAGTTGACGATGAAGGCAGGACCATCTCCCTCAGCTGAGCCACGGAGACCGTCATCACTGGAGTTATATCGACTTTCGTGAGAGTTACCATGGCTCCAGCGACGAAAGTTTCGTTGCTGGAGCCATGGTAAGTTACCATCGGTAACTTTCATCGTCAGAGTTGTGACCTGGATTTGGCATGATGATAGGCTGAACGGGCAGCGCGCAACCGTCAGACATCGGATTCGTTACTTCGGCGAAATCGAATATGGTACCAGCGAATTCGACTTTCGCCTTTCGTCGAAATTGAGCTTACTTCAGACATGCCGGCGAAATTGATTTCACTTATGGCGCGTGTCGTCGCTATTGATTATTCTATCGAGCGCGCTGGCGAAATTGGTCTTACTAAGGCACATCTTGGCTCGGATGATTGCTCGTCCTGCAAAATTGATCACACTAAACGCGAAATAGGCCTTTAAAAAGTGTAGACCCAAAGATGTAGGACGCGCTATACGAGTGCATCTCCAATGAACTGAGTTCATTGAACTCACCTCAAAGTCACCGTTATATTGAAGGTTGCTCAACCAATCATCGATTAGAAGAATACTACTCTTCACTTCACATGAGACTCATGTCGTGACGCACGACATGAGTCCCAGACGCGTTGAAGATTGTGTTCACGACTCGTGAGTACAATTGTCATCAAACCTAGCGGATGTTTTAAGACGTGTGCTGAAAGTAGCTGATATCTCGCCCTCGTTTGATTCACAGTCTACAATCAACTTTGGCAGTGTCAAGTGTCTGCGTGACACGCAGTGCGTGAGTGCCCCACGCACTCGCGCCCTCACGTGCAACGCGTGACGCAAAGCGGCTTCACTTTTCGTCTTCTGCACGGAACTGTGTTCTGGGTGTACTCCCTGCCTATTGTCCGGTTTATAACTGTATCGACCAACACAGCCAAGTAGTCGCCCGATAATATAAGACTCATCAGGCGAGTTGATTACTCTAATTATCCCAATGCTCCACTCCTTGACTCTCATCGCTTCTCTATTCATCGGTAGCTGTTCTTATGATGAAACCACTCTGTCGTTGGCTATATCAAATGATCCGTGAGTTCTCCTACTCCTTTGCTTGAAACAATCCCTTCTCGATAGGTATGCCACCGTGGGAGAAAACGAAAGCTTAGCTGCTTCGAGTGGGATACTCCAACTGATGAGCGATATGACTGACGAGCCTCAGGTCCATTTTACGAGCACCCCAGTGGTTCGTGTAAAATCAGCGGGACCAAACTCGTTGACTGTTACTGCCAAAGAGGCGAAGCTGCTATTGGTGGCAGTGTAAACCCCCACCTCGATGTTTCTGTGATGACGTATTCTTCTCAGGGTGGAGGGAAAGTAGTGGCACTCGTCTGTGCTCCATCATGCGGTAGAAGGACTTTGAGAGCAGCTGATGATGGCATCAGCATGTTAGGAGGGGAAGGGGGAAGCTGCCCAGTCTACCCATCGCGTCAGACTGAGTGTCGATCAGGGTGGTGCTTCCTCGTGCCTAACACCGTGAGTGATGATGATGTTGCCGAGTTGGCAATGCCAACTTCACTTTGTGGATTATTGTTTGAGACTTTCATTCATTTCAGGGATGTCCATCAGGCATGTCCGCCTGGAACGCAGGGAAGTACGGTCCTATATGCATGTATGACAACTGATGGTGATCTCGAAGAGCTCGCCTCCAGATCATCATTCTGGAGTGTTCGCATCTCGAAGTGGCGTCCTTCTCACTATGTGCTATGTAAATCTATTGGTACAGCAAACAGTCAGTCTGTCAGTCTTTCCACGTTCTTTCACTCAATCCGTCAGTCTTCATAGGTTCGTTTGCTCGTGATGGTACTTTCCGACTCTGTCCTCCTTGTGAACATATGTGAATTGTGAAGTTCACAGGTATATCGCTCGAATCGTGCTACGATCGTGATATATCAGTTGAATTCCTCTTTCGTATATTCCTGATCGGACTTGTTGAGAGCCGGTGAAACTACGAGTTGAGTCGGGGATGCGTCCGATTAACGATTCTGATTCGTGAAGCATGTTGTGATTCACAACTTGTGAAGTTCGTAAATTCGGAGCTCTTCATGTGCCGAACATCCTACCTCCTTCAGTGCTTCACACTTCTCATATTTTGTCTCGAAAAGAGTGGATGTTGGGTTGCACAAGAGTTAGTTATTAATAGCTCTTTCAAGATAATGAACACTGACCGTTCAAGAGTCAGTGGACGATGGAACTAGCCGCAACATCGCTCAACAGTGTGGGAAAGTAGGCAAATGGTCAACTACATGTGTCGGTGACAAAAAGGGCGAATTTGGGAGATTATTGTTAGTTTCTGGGCACTTCTGGCCGCCTTCGTATATGAACCCCTTGGAGAAAGCGAACAAAGTCTATTCCAACGCTGTCCCTTACTGACTCAGTAATACTGAGCAACGCTACGCCAACTGCGTGGATCACGCGTTGAACGCAGAGCATGACGATGAG